AAAGATTAGCTACTCATGTCTAAAACAAATGTAAACTAACCTGTTAATTGAACGAARAAATTTGCGATAWACCTATAAAAATCGTCTCAGTTGACAGCCATCAATGGACAGCCCCTTTGCTGTCGATTTCTCTYCTTCTTCTCTCCTTCAACGCGACCAGTTCTGCTCCTCGATGACTGCTCGATGACAGCCCCTTTGCCCTCGATTACCTGTTCGGCTGCTCTCAGCTTTTAATCCAAATCGAACAGCCCCTTTCTGGACAGCCTCTTTCGATGACCTGCTGCAATCGAACAGCCCCCTTTCTATTGATTTCTGTCTCGAGCCACTATCGACCGATTTCCCTCTCGATTTCCCTCTCGATTTGTCTCYCGGCTTCCCTCACGACAGCCCCCTTTAACAKCCTCTTTATCGGCTCTTTTCCTCCCATCTCTGCCCACGATTTTCCTCGTACTCGCCCACGATCTCCCATCTCGTTCTCTCCCTCTCGCTTTCTGATTTGGGTAGCAGCCTTGGGCTGCTGCTGTTTGCTGTTTCTCTTCTTGTTACACGGCTTGGGCTACTATTATGGGCCAGAAAACTTGGGCTGCTGTTATGGGCCAAAAAGAAGACATAATCAACACATTTTTTCTCAACTTTAATGGCCTCTATAGTTAAATATCATCTTAAATAAAAATGGACATTTTTAGGTATCTAATTGACATTAATCGCAAGGTACTTTGACGTAAAAATGTATATATTTGTGCTAATCAAATTCCCCCACACTTAGATCATTGTCCGTCCCAGCAATGACTTTAGTTAACACGTAGTTGTAAAAAGAAATAATGAATCAAATAAGAACATCAACACATATAGCATATCATGACTTTGAGATTTGCAACAAAGCATTGAAAAGAGTATGCACACGCAATCAAGTAGACACAAGCTAATCTCGAGAACTCTCACGAATGGGATTAACGAAGCAACACTCGATTCACTCCTTGGGTTAAAGTGTATCGCTCAAATCGTCAATGTCTAGTATGTACCTACCATATACTTGAAAAGTCTCTCACTCTCCACTACTTGGATAAAATACATGCTTATAAATCAAAAGGTCTTAAAAGGTGTAACGAAAAACAAGGCTTTGGGTACGGTAGGAAAATATTTAGGAAAAATGACTAAGACCTAACACCAATGGAGAATTCGGCTACTCAAACACACTTTATTTTTATTTTCACAAAGGACTTTTGCATTTATCTTTGAAGCTCATTCCTTTTCGGACGATAGAGAATAGAGATAAAACGTTTATATTCAACCATATCGTCATTTTCGTCGTCTATTTTTATTTTTTTTTACGACGTAATTTTGCTCTTCATATATATATACTTATATTTTTTTTTCTTTTTGAATTTTCTGTTTTTTTTTCTTTCTGTTTTTTTTTCTTTTTTCTTTATTTCCTTCCCGAACATACGAATTCTACTTTCAAGTATAAAGGGATATTGAGGTCACTCCATTGGTGCTTAGTTGGGTGAGTCGTGTTTGGATTGGTTCATGATGTGGGTGACAAAGGAAATAGGCTAAGGCTCAAAGTGGTGTGCAAAAGGGACAATGACAACATAAGGGGTAGGCTTAAGGCTAGTGGTTTAACACAAAAATGAGCAAACGATGGCCTTTATCATATTTATTAACATGTAGTTATCATGTAGTCTTAAGGAGAGAAAAATCAAGTTCTAGAGATGCATATCTAGGCATGACTCAATCACACAAGAAATGAATTTGAGACTAATATCAAGTGTTTAGTCTAAATAAGCTCAAAGTCTCACGGTGTTCAAAACTAGTTCAAGAGATTAACAATAGTCTACTTTGACTGATATGCTACCACTAATCACTCTAAATGCTATCAATCAAGCTCAATCATGCTATACACGCATCCAAACTCATCGTCACCAACAATTTAAGCTCAATAAAAGCATGCTAACACATTGTCAAAACGGACAAAGATCCTCATTTAAGCACAAAATTTGCAAAAAAACAAAAATTTGACCCCTAAAACCATTTATATACCCAATTCATGCAAATAACCCCCACCCCCACACTTAATTCATACATTGTCCTCAAGGTATGCAATAATTAGAGGACACTCTAAACAATTAAGGAAAAAGGGAACAGGAAACTCCCCTGATTTGATGAGTGACCTCCCAATATAAGAATCCGTGGAGATGGGCGTATCTCTTCAAGCATCCAACATCCGGGGTGAACCTGAGAATACAGAAATCTAAGAGTGAAACTAGAGAATCTAAAAATAAAATAAATAACTGAAAACAATAAATACCAAGAAAAGGAAATTCATGGGTTGCCTCCCACGCAGCGCCTTTCTTTTATGTCTTTGGCTAGACCATACTCAGTTCAATTCTTGTAGCTTGGCGTGTCCAAAGCTACCCTCTCTAAATCCCCTCCATCGAATCCTTCATAGAACGGCTTTAGCCTATGGCCGTTAACTTTGAAAATCTGCCCCGTAGACAGACTTCGTATCTCCACTGCACCATGCTCAAAAACAGTTAAAACAACAAAATGTCCTATCCATCTGGACCTTAACTTACCATAAAATAATTGTAATCTAGAGTGATAGAGGAGAACTTTCTGACCTTTGGTGAAAGACTTACGTGATATACGAGAGTCATGGAACGCCTTGGTCTTCTCCTTATAGATGCGAGCATTTTCGTAGGCATCGTTCTGTATCTCCTCTAACTCTTGAATCTGAAGCTTCCTATGTGATCCCGCTTCATTCAAATTCATATTGCATGTCTTCACCTCCCAATACGCCTTGTGCTCTAATTCCACCAGGAGGTGGCAAGGTTTACCGTACACCAACCGGAAAGGAGACATACCTATGGGCGTCTTGTAGGCCAAACGATAGGCCCACAAGGCGTCATTAAGTCTTAAGCTCCAGTCTTTCCGGTTGGGATTCACAGTCTTCTCCAAAATAGACTTGATCTCTCTATTTGATACCTCAGCTTGTCCGTTTGACTGTGGATGGTAGGCGGTGGAGATGCGATGGATAACCCCATATTTCTTGAAAAGCGCGCCGATGACCTTGTTGCAAAAGTGGGTGCCTCGATCGCTGATGATGGCCTTGGGCGTCCCGAACCTGGCAAATATGTGAGATTTGACAAAATCTGCAACTACACGAGAATCATCAGTTCGAGTGGCCTTTGCCTCAACCCATTTTGAGACATAGTCAACGGCCAAAATAATRTARAGRTTACCRCAAGATGYRGGARAGGGTCCCATGAAATCCATACCCCAAACATCAAAAATCTCGCATACTAGTATAGGAAATTGGGGCATTTGATTTCGGGAACTAATGTTTCCCGTCATTTGGCATCTCATGCAACTCTTGCAAAAACGATAACAATCTCGTATAAGGGTCGGCCAATACAACCCACACTCTAGTACCCTTCGGTATATCCGCTTATGGCCGAAGTGGCCCCCACAAGCATGGGAGTGACAAAACTGTAAAACAGACTGAAACTCCCCTTGGGGCACACATCGCCGGATAACTTGGTCCGGACAATGTTTCCAAAGGTACGGCTCGTCCCACATGTAGAAACGAGCCTCTCTCCTAATCTTTTCTCTATCGGGTCTAGATAGCTCACCTGGGAAGCTCTTTGAAACTAAATAATTAACAATATCT